TATCTGATATGCTCATGCATTCGAATGTTCCTTTCCCTATCATAATTATAATTCATTTAATTATTATTCATTCAATCACTCGTACGATTTGTTTGCTTCGACTAGTGAATATAAATGGTGGTGCAACTAATCATGTATTAGAACAAATTTGCCTTTTAGAAAACGATGTCAGTCATACCTCCGACATCATTACAACTGTTATTTTAAGTTACAATAAATGATGGCTTTTTAATATTAGTCTTAATATCCGTTGTTATAGACGTTGTCTTTGTATTTTACATCGACAGTCACTTACTATGTTGGTCTTGATTCAATGTGACTAACGTCTATACAAATGTCATCATAGTCTACGATGATGGTTATTAAGTGTCCATCGTTTAATGTATGTTTTTTAAAATTTAAAATATGATTGACAATGTAAATGTTGGAATAGTTGTTTCCAATGACAAGGAATGTCCCACGTCATTTTCTTAATAATCTGAATGACATAAAATACCTATCATCGTAACAGGAAAAAATGGTTAGTTGCACACATGTGACTACTAGCAATATCTTCTTCTTTGTCAAAATAAAATATCAATAGTATTATATTTTTACATAATATTTAATTAAACAAATTTCAATATAGTATGGATAACTAATTCACTCCAAGAATCTCACTACCTTATTAACAAAAACTAATCTCTTCAGAAGCTAAACTTAACATGCTATAATATTCCTAAATTCACAGCTATATTAACGATTAATACTCATAAAACAAAAGTAAATCAAACAAACCCATCAGCAGAAACCTGTGTGAGATGCTCTATCTAGATCCCTTTAAGATCATTGAATTATCTTATAAGTTGTAGAAAAGATGACAAGGAGGTAGGATCAATTGGGAAACAACTAGGCAAATTATAAAAATTAAGATGAAATTTGATTAACGTATAGTTGCCAAATTGCTAGGTAGGAAATCCACTGTTTAACTTGTTGTGTCTAGAATGTAAGAGGTGAAAGATTGTTCTTAGTACTGTCGTGGTTGCTCCGGAATAATATAGAAATAAAGATTCAAGAGAGAAAATTAAATGTCAAATTTAGTACTGGTTCACCCACCGTGAGCCATGTCTAATTCTCCTAGTGTGTTGTATGTTTTACAAAAATGTCAGGGGGAATCTTCCAAGAACGTTTACAAACTCTTTACAAATAATCTCTCAATTTGCCTCACACAAAATGTTCACGAATTGCTCTACAAATCTTTCAAATTCTCTAAGCGATACACAAGTATTAAGTTCTCAAACTCTCACTTCTAAAAGAGTTTTCATGATTCTCCATCTGTGTTCATCTCTTAAATGATCTCTCAATCTCTATTTATAATAGCTGGAAAAATCAAATATAAAAAAGATAATGTTTTTCAAAATTCAAAACGGGCCATGAAAATGAAAGTAACCAAAGAAAATGAAAAAAAAAAATATTTTCTCTCTACGAAAAGGAATAAAATTTTCTTCTTAGTTTGGCTCAATGGTAGTCTGCTAGCCATCAAGTTATAACTTATAAATTATAAAGGAGGATGGTGATGACAAGTAAAGGAATGGTGAATCAAACAAAAAGTTCTTGTGTAGGAGACCCTACCTTGACTTTTACCAATGAGCTAGATTGGTTGGATGGTGAGTTATATCATGCCGCCAAAAAGTTGACTTGTATTTTCAAACGTTATTGAAATTAACTGAAGTCTACGGAGTCAATCTGAATATGGCTTAACGAGTTAAAACATCTATATCATGAGTTCGAATCTCAATCTCTACATGTTGTACGAAGTCCTCCCACAAATTCCATCCACTTCTTCAATTATTTCCGTTTCTTTTGTTGGCCCATAGGTTATCCCAAAGATCATACTATGAATTATCACATGCCACTTTCTTCTCTAATCTTAATTTTCAATTCCATCTCATCTTACATCACATGATAAAAGATCCCTATTAAAAAATTGCCTACATAGACATATTAATCCAAACGAAACCCTCAATGAATTATTTTGTCAAACACATTGTCCATGATTCCTTTATCTTATATGATCAAAACAACACTGGCATCCACTACACTTACCCCCCATAGTTAATAGTTTTCCAAAATAACCAAAGAGGTTTTCAAAAGCAACACGTCCCATATGCTTCAAAATGGGCTTCTTCGTCAGAAGCACTACCACAAAAGTACTTTGATTATAATATGCAAAAATAACATATGCTTTTTGGGCTGAAACAAGGGATATTTGGTAGTTAAAGCCCATTCCACATTTTACTCCTTTTCTTTTTCTTTTTCCTTTGAAGTTTCATATGAAGAAGAAATCGTGGTGCTTTCAGCAACCCTTTCCATTGGATGGCTTTTAGAACCAACCCCACGTTTGAGTAAGCGACAAACGGTGTCGATTCTCCGCGTCCCACTTGATTTAAACTTTTGTCTATTGTAATCATTAGTTGTACATCAATTCATCTGCTGTTTTGTTCTTTTTCTTTTATAATAAGATCTGTGTTTTGTTGTTGTTGTTCCATGCTGTCTCTCTGTGTGTGTGTACTTTTTCTTTGCTTTCGATGTATCTAGCCAATTCCGAATTTGAATATGATATGTAATGGGATTTTAAGTAAATGGCATTTTTATTTCTTTATTTGTGTGTCAAATTTAAGCATGTTAGAGAGAGATAGATGTTATATCTTTTGTAGTAGTGATGGAAAAAGTTTTGCAACCAAAGAAAGCTATTTAGAAGTTATGGGCATGTTGTCACCTTTGAGTCTTGGAAAATTTTCAAAAAAAAGAAATTATATTAAAACATCAATCCAACCCAAATTGTAGAGGGTGGAATTATAAACTTGTTTAAGTTGGGATGAGTTTAAATAAATTAAAATTTTATGGATTAAGTATTTTTCACAATAAGATCAACTAGCGAGGCGTCCTGCCTCTCGCAGTAGGTTTCCAAACCTCGCCTCACTCTTGTGACATGCTATGTTTTTTCTTAGGGGTTGGTCGGATGATGATAAAGGTCTCCAAGCACATCGAAAATTTGGCCGAGAGTCCTTCCTTGTTTGTTATTTTAAAGTTACTATTAAAAGTAAATAAACAAATATGCTTAAAAAACTATAATTTTTCACTATCCTTTTAACAAAGCTTTGTACTTATTTTATTTTATTTTTTTAAAAAAAAGTTTTCAACAATTATCAATATTTTTGCTATCAGTTCTATTAATATTCATGGAGTTAAAGATATTGAGGGGCATGTTTTTTTTAGTATAACATGGGGAGGTTCCACATTGACCTAATGATGATATAATATAAGAGAATTATTTCTCTCATTACCAATTAGTTTTGAGATGAAATTCCATGGATATTAATATGGTATTAGAGCCCAAAATCTCAAACAAGCATCCAGTTCAAAGAGACACCGTCTTGACGGGAAAATAAGGACTGAATAAGAATTTATGATATAAGTGGACTACTTGTTAATTGAAATAATACTAATAAGTAATTAACCTACATATTTATCAACAATAATCTAAGTATATCACAAAATAAGTTTTATATTAATGAACCATATAATCTCAACATATCACTGATCAATCTATATTTGGATCGACTATTATCGTGATAAATCACCAATTAACTTATATATTGATTGACGTGAATCATGGAGATATATGTATATGTATATTTCATGGAGCTACCTTCACAATTATCTTATAATGAGGTGATTTTTTTTAAGTTAAATTATGCGAGAATTTCAATTACTACTAAATGTTTTGGGCCTGAGATATCCAAGAACGACAGAAGGGTTAGGTTGGACTTGGGCTTATGTAGTACACGCCTGCTTGGAGCCCATAAGACTTTATGATCAGCTGGCCCACTCATAAACCAGATGTGTGAATTTGTAATTATCCTTTTAGATCAGAAAATTTGGGTATGTGAATTTGTAATTTTCATTTTTTTCCTTTTTTTTTTCAATTCTTAAGATATTTACTTGTTTTCACTTGATTAATAATTCTTAATAAATAATGAATAAAATAGATTAAAAGTACTTTTGGTCTTTTAGAGTTTTTATGTAATTTTATTATTTTCTAATTTTACGGTTTCTTGAAGAATAGGGATACTTTAGTCCTTTTGTTATGCTTTAGGACGTGGTCTTTATGGTTTTAGTTAGTATGCTATCTAAAGCCCTGCTATTATGTTGTTTTACATATTAGATAAGAAATTTTAGCCATCGAGTTTTTCCTTTCAAATTTAGCCAGGAAAGTTTCTCCAACCTATTGCAATTTCATGTTTCTTTGAATTGCATGCCAAGAATAACGTAGCTAGGATTTTATCATCCTTAATTTATTGTGGAGTTTCGACTCTTGGACCAGGGACTTTTTTTTTTGTCTCAAGAACTTTAATCTTAAGACAATCCATTTCTAACCTAAATCTTAAGGTTGAAATCGAATCGATTGGAGGATTTCAATGTTTAGGAATTATGGGTTTACATGCCCTAAAAGTCCCTAATTCCAAATCATTGGGATTTTCACATTGGTCTTTTTATTTTGGAGAATATGTCTATTTGGCTCTAAAGTTTAAAAGTGATACTTTTCGTCCTTGAGGTTTGAGAAATAGTTATATATGGTCCCTAAGTTGATTTGACCGTTAATTGACTAACATTAAAATGAGGTGGCGGTTAAGTTGTTGATTGTACTTGTTTTTTTTAATACAACATGTAGGGGTAGGGTATCGAACTCACTACCTCATTATTAGAAATATATGTTAATTACCGTCGAGCTGTACTTGCTTTGGCAATTGCTTATTGTACTTGTTAACGTGGTAAAATATATTAATTTAATAATATATTTATGGGTGATATATTTTCTCTCTCTTCCTTCTCCTCCTCCTCGATAAACCCTAAATGTCATCACGAAAAGACTAAGATACCCACTTAATATTCTCTAAAATAATAAAAATTAGAAAGTAATAAAAGTTACATCAAAATTATTAAATAAACACCAATCATAATTTAAAGTCCTTCCATATATTACAGTCTTAACATTATCACAAGTGTTTCAAGTTCAAATTATTTTATATACATGTGACGATCTTCAACACCCAAGGAAAAAAAAATTCTTATTCTAAAGCGAAATAAAGATCACCACGTAAGCAATGCTCAATGATATATCATTTTACTTCTACTCGTGAGGTCGAAAGTTTAAATCCACGTATGATACTGTACTCAGAAAAAAGAGAAAAAAAAAAAAGAAATCTATCATCTTTGTGAATATGAAATGAATTGAAGTTGAGCTCAAATTAACTAAGTAGATCCATGGTGTGCCTCTTTTTTAGCATCACCTGCAGCCCGTTCTCCATCCTCAGCGTCAGTGAAAGCAAATACTTTGGAGCTTTCTCGTTCTCCACCACTTCCACATGGAACCTCTCAATCACAGCGGCTGCAATGGACTTCATCTGAATAAAGGCCATGTCCTTCCCCAGGCACATCCTCGGCCCGGCGTGAAACACCGGGAATCGAAACGGGCTCTCTGTCC